ATTTGAACTAAATTAAAGATTGGTTTTGTGAAAGTTTGTAATTGATTTGCAAAATGGTTTTGACGTAAATTTATGATTTGGATGGATAGGTTTTATGCACGTTTAAACTTAATTTGAATTAGATTTAAATTTTTGGTTTGGATTAAGTTTGCCGTTTATATTGAATTTATGATTCCATATTCATGCTTAAGTTTATATACATATACTAGTGATTGAATCATGTTTAATATGATTTAACATTTCATTAATTTTGAATTTTATGTGTAAATGTGATTTAAGTAGATTAAATTTTCATTTTATCTTTTCATTTCTTTTAGGTTTAGCTCAAAGATAGTTCAAAGTAAAAAAAACCAATTGTGGTTACGTTAACCTAAAAGAAAGAGCTAGAAAAGAGATCAAGATTGTTCAGGTAGGTTCAATATAGTTTTTCCTAAGTTGACTAAATCGAAGGGTAGGCTTAACCAACCTAGTTCATAGGGCAAGCCAAGGGTTTCAAATGTATTTTAAGTCATGAGGAAAGACTTTAAGCTCAATAGAATACCTTAAATCATATTAAAGACTTATGGGGTACTCAACCTCTATATTTTCGATACCCTAACCATAGTCAACTTAACATCAAAAGTATGTGTTAAAGATTAAGTCATGTGTATTTTAAACAAAAGGGAGGTAAATATTTAGATTTAATTCTAATTTGGGTTCCAAACATCAATTGATTCTCTTAGATAGTCTTAAAGGAATTCATAATGCAAGATCTTCAGATCTAAATATGATTTGAAAAAAAAAAAGGATATAGTCTACAAAAAAAATGAGGTCAATAGGGATAAAATATATGAAGCATATTTTGGCTTCACAGGTAAAATTTATTAAAGACTTCAATTTATGAGGATAGAGGATATAGTCCACAAAAAAAATGAGGTCAACAGGGATAAAATATATGAAGCATATTTTGGCTTCACGGGTAAAATTTATTAAAGACTTCAATTTATGAGGATATCTCATTGTATACGAACAAACAAAGGACTCATAAAATTAAGCATCATTATAAGAACACTCTTAATATATGTGAACCTTTATAATTTCACACTAAGAGAAGTAAAATTATGAATTCCTGCTTAACATGGGATAAGCTAAGCTAAAATAGATAAAATAATATACATTTAGTTAGATCATTAGAATTTGTATCAAAGTTAGAACTTGTCTAGTATGATTTGTAGTTTGAGGATTAACCATGCAAAAGATGCAAAATTTGTGATTTCATGAATTTAAAGAGGTTCGAAGAGGCAAAAGATTGATTATTGGGTTGAAAGGCCTAAGTAAGTGATTACCTTCCTTATAAGCTTCTTTGATGAAAACTTTTGGAAAGGGTGCATGATAAAATCAAATCCTAAATTAAAAATGAAAGAATGTTGATTGGTCTTGTAAGGAGTTGAAACTGAATATATGTGATGTCGTTTAATATAATAGGTAATTTTTTTCATAAGATCTATAATAAAGCATGCTCATATGGGAGCACACTTAAGAAGTGACACCTCTTAGGAAGCTACATTAGGAAGGGTAAAATTGTGAGGTTTAACCACATGGACTAAACTAAAGAACGTAATACCACACATAAGGTAGTTTAGGTCCTTGAATGATAAAATCAAATCCTAAATAAAAAATGAAAGAATGTTGATTGGTCTTGTAAGTAAGGAGTTGAAACTGAATATATGTGATGTCGTTTAATATAATAGGTAATTTTTTTCATAAGATCTATAATAAAGCATGCTCATATGGGAGCACACTTAAGAAGTGACACCTCTTAGGAAGCTACATTAGGAAGGGTAAAATTGTGAGGTTTAACCACATGGACTAAACTAAAGAACGTAATACCACACATAAGGTAGTTTAGGTCCTTGCAAAAATGAACTTTTTTTAAGGATATATATACATAGGTTCTATGAAATGTAGTAAGATGTCTCATTGTCATATGTTTGGCATTTGGTCAGCATTATGGAGGGGTGTTGATAAGACTTATAAACACAAGAACATCTTATATGGTGGTAATTAATAAATTTATATAGTTAAAGTTGATGATCGATGTTAGTTAATGTTAGGTGATGGGCAATGATAGAAGATAATGAAGCTAATCAAGATGGAATGAGTAGCTTTAGGAAATTGGCTGATCCCAAGCAATTAAAGGGATTATAGTGATTTTTTTTTAAGCAAAGACTGAGTCATGACCCAAAAAATTGGTGAAGGAGCCCAATAAGTAGAAAACCAATGATGATCAACTAGTGCTTCTAGAAAGTGATTACAACTTTAAGATTTTCTAATTTCTAATTTCTATAGTATGAGAAATTTTTTTCCAAAATCTATCATAAATGTATAAGAAAATGATTTATTTATTCATTTCACTAGGAGCATCTAGTCTTTTTTTAATCAAAACACACCCAATCAAAGCCCATTTTGAAAGATTCAAATTATTCTCTTTTATGAAAAAAATTGATTGGATGATCCTGCCATTGAGAGAGCTGGAGGGATTTGCCCATACTAGGACAAGGGGGGCTCAAGCTACTGGCTAGGACTTGACCAAGACAGTCTATTGATGTTTGTCCTTGGCAAAATTTCCAATAAACTAAAAATGATACCATTTTAATTTTTTGACAGCATAAATGCAATGGATCCAAATTTGAATAGTTGGACTGTTCATAATAATTCATAAAATATTGTATATCAAATTTAGAGGTATTAAAAAATGATGAACAAATACAACACTATGAACAAATACAACACTATGTAAAATATTTCTCTATAACTGCAATCTATCATTAAAATATCTCATAAATTGAAGGCATATAAGATTCACAATAATTGCAATAAAACATTGAAACTTCACTTGAACTGTCAAAAAATATAGCAACAAAGGCAACAATTTATGAGGCGAAACAGTCGATTTTTTTTCGAGCAAATAACGTGAAAATTGTTGATTTATAAACGTGAAAGAAACCCTAAAACATTCCAATTCGATGCAACAAATTGTGCAAATTCATATTCATTTCCAAGCTATAGAACAGCAAGTGAAGATTAATCATAGAGAGTGTGCATGCGAACAAGCGAGTCAAAAATTATTGCTTTTCATTTACCTGTTAATAAGAAGGAATAACAGGAAGCTACATTATAATATTGCTTAGATCTATTGATCAATGATAGGCAAGGGCTATTTCAAACCTTTACTACTGATTTTTTTTTTTTTTTGGTTTTAGAGAACAAGTGAAACTCACTTTTGACCAAGTTATTAATAAATGAAATATACAAGCTATTTTCTCTAAAATCAATCAAAACTATATGAACAATTATAATTTATCATAGTCAAAATTTTCAAGCATTTTATATATAATTGTAATCTGATTCATAATACTAATTATTACTTAAAATATGATTATTTTGATTACTCTTAAATTAGTACTTGTCTGTGAAAATCAATTAGTGCTTATCCACATTAACTTTATTTGATATCATTTTGTAACTTTTTAATCGTATGAAAAAACATTTTATTATTTATTTTTAATAATTTTAAAAATAATTATCACTATCAACTTTTGTTGGTAAAAATTCTGTCCAAACTCCGAACATAGCTCTACGTGCAGACTCCAATAATATGTATCACATGTGCTACATCGCAGAGGTTATTTCTGGGTTATTGAAGTGAATGAAAGCTATTTCAAGGTTATTTTGGAGTTAATGAAGAGAAACTCACATACTCTACTTTAATAACCCTGAAATAACCCCAAAAGAATCTCTGTGATTTTACTTCAATAACCCCAAAATAACACCGCGGAAATTATTTTAGAGTTATTTTTGAATTATTTCAGGCTTATTGAAATGAAATATATGAGTTTCTCTTCAATAACCTCGAACTAACTCAGAAATAACCACGAAATAACTTCCACAATATTATTTCGAGGAAGTCATTTCGGTGTTATTGAAGTTGAACCACCACGAAAATTATTTCGAAGTTATTGTGGAGTCGCAGTTTCACTTTAATATTTTTTTAGGTGGGTCTCATATAGCACACATGACAGTATATTACTGAGAGTTCGCATATAGAGCTAAGACCGGAATCCGTAAAGAAAAATTTTCCCAACTTCTGCCGCCACTAGTCATCACCTTGCCAGCCGCCATTCCTCAACAGCATTTGTCACCACCATACAAAAATCAATTTTATCTGATATAACAGAAGAAATAACTAAAAATGATGAAAAAATGCTGGGAAATAAAAAAAGAAAAAAAAAAGCAAGTTATAACAGCATTTATTCGATAAACAAACCATTTCCTGCTATGATCTTCGACGGAATATATGATGATTTTTTCAGAACATGTCCATAGTGCTGGGGACCATTTTCTCCAGATCGTCTTGCGATAAAAGGGTCTTCTTGCCGCCGCCACCTGCCTTGTCATAAGGCTGCGCCATTCTCCTCAAGAACTGATCATCCGGATGAAAGAAATATAATTAGTACACATGACCTAAACTTCCAAAATAAATTCAGAAGTATATTATATAAATAATTTAAGCTAAATCATGTTTTTTTTTTTAATTTTTATTTTAAGCTTCATCATAACTTAATGGTAACATAAAACTAATTTCTATTGATTTGTGGTCTTTTTGTTGCAGCAAAAAAGATTATGCTTGAAATCTTATTATTCATTTGAAAAGAATTTATGCTCTTATGGAAGGTATATTCAGGTCAATTGGCTCTATATTCATCGAGGAGGCAATAAATGTGCGGATTGGGCGGCAAAGCAAGGTTTGAAGCCTCAAAGAGCGGGTTTTTTCTAACGTGTTCGGTCCTTGCTTGTTTGGTTTGGGGTGACATGCTTGATACTCCTTTTATTCTCGTGGTTTAGTGTGTCTTTTTTATTTTCTTGTGTGGGTTGTTTGTGGCTTCAAGTACATATATATATATATATATATACATATATATATAAAAAATCAATTTTATCTAATATAATAGAAGAAATAACTAAAAATGATAAAAAAATGCTGGGAAATAAAAAAAGAAAAAAAAAGCAAGTTATAACAGCATTTATTCGATAAACAAACCATTTCCTGCTATGATCTTCGACGGAATATATGATGATTTTTTCAGAACATGTCCATAGTGCTGGGGACCATTTTCTCCAGATCGTCTTGCGATAAAAGGGTCTTCTTGCCGCCGCCACCTGCCTTGTCATAAGGCTGCGCCATTCTCCTCAAGAACTGATCATCCGGATGAAAGAAATATAATTAGTACACATGACCTAAACTTCCAAAATAAATTCAGAAGTATATTATATAAATAATTTAAGCTAAATCACTTTTTTGAAAATTTTATTTTAAGCTTCATCATAACTTAATCGTAACATAAAACTAGTTTCTATTGATTTGTGGTCTTTTTTGTTGCAGCAAAAAAGATTATGCTTGAAATCTTATTATTCATTTGAAAAGAATTTATGCTCTTATGGAAGGTATATTCAGGTCAATTGGCTCTATATTCATCGAGGAGGCAATAAATGTGCGGATTGGGCGGCAAAGCAAGGTTTGAAGCCT